ATCCATCAAGACCCATCTGGTGCATTAAGTTATAGACGGAGGACTACTCCTTTATGTGGTGTATGAAAGAGCTGAGCGAGAGAATAAGAGTGTGATGTGCTCTCTGTAAGGTGTGGGATTTCAGAATAGACCACAGGACACTTCAAAATAACTCTCAGGCTGGTCAGCAAAAGATAAAGAGAGGCTAAAGGTCCCTGGGGCCAAAAACAGGTCGAACTGGTTATTTGACACACAGCCGCCATTATGTAGAGTAAAGTGTTACAATAATTAAGTTACTGTATTGCAAAAAGTGTGTGTCGTGTTTCATTTTAGTGTTGGGGTCAACTCAGAAAACAGCTGAGCTGACAGCAAACAGTCTAGTGTTGGGAAATGCTGTGTTGTTGTTTTTTAACACAGCTTTATACAGTCAAACACACTGAGGCAATAGTCAAATATTCTCTTGTAGAGTGCCCTCTCATATGTAGCGTTTGTGTCATTTATTTAAGTGAATCAGCCCATTTGGACATTTCCTGTGAATCAAGCAATTCAAAATAACTATTCACCTATTAATTTGATTGATACATGCACAGAAGTCACTGTGGTATATTTATTACATCAGTGTTGTTTCAGTTAATGCTACTGTTCATCACTATGTTTTTTGTATTAGAGAGAATGTACTGTATACGGTGCTGCTTGAAAGTTTGTGAACCCGTCAGAATTTTCTCTATTTCTACATAAATATGATCTAAAAGATCATCAGATTTTCACACAAGTCCTGAAAGCTGACAAAGAGAATCCAATCAATCAAATGAAGAAAAAAACATATACTTTGTCGTTTTTTTAATACTTTGTGATTTATTTATTAAGAAAAATGATTCCATGTTAGATATTTGTCAGTGGCAAAAATATGTGAATCTTTGCTTTCAATATCTGGTCTGACCCCACTTTTGCAAAAATAACCACAGCTAAATATTTCTTGTATCTGCTGATCAGTCCTGCACAAAATCTTGTAGGAGTTTTAGCCCATTCCTCAGTACAGAACCACTTCAACTCTGTGATGATTTTGGGTCTCCTCCTATGAATTTGCTTCAGGTCTGTCAACAACATTTCAATAGGATTAAGGTCTGGACTTTGACTCGTCCATTCCAAAACATTACCTTTGTTCTTCTTTAACTATTCTTTGGTAAAATGACTTGTGTGCTTGGGATCTGCATGGCCCACTTTCTATTGAGACTCAGTTCTTGGACAGATGTCCTGACATATTCCTTCAGAATTTGCTAGTATAATTCAGAATTCATTGTTCCATCAATGATGGCAAGCCATCCTGGACCAGATGCAGCAAACCAGGCTCAAACCATGATACTACCATCACCATGTTTCATAGATGGGATAAGGTTCTTAAGCTGGAATGCAGTGTTTTTCTTTCTCCAAACATAACGCTGCTCATTTAAACCAAAAAGCTCTATTTTGGTCTCATCCACAAAACATTTCTCCAATAGCCATCTGGCTTGTCCACATGATCTTTATCAAGCTGCAGACGGGCAGCGATGTTCTTTTTGGAGAGCAGTGGCTTTCTTCTTGCGACTCTGCCATGGACACCATAGTTGTTCAGTGTTCTCCTGATGATGGACTCATAAACATTAACATTTGCCAATGTGAGAAAGGCCTTTAGTTGCTTAGAAGTTACTCTGGGGTCCTTTGCAACCTCACAGACTATTACTCATCTTACTTTTAGAGTGATTTTTGTTGATCAACCACTCCTGAGGAGGGTAACAGTGGTCTTGAATTTCCTCCATTTGTACACAATTTGTCTGACCGTGGATTTGTGAAGTCCAAACTCTTTAGAGATGGTTTTGTAACCTTTTCCAGCCTCAACAGCAACTCTTTTTCTGAGATCCTCAGAGATCTCCTTTGTTCATGCCATTACACTTCCACAAACATGGGCAGACTTTGATAGATCCCTGTTCTTTAAATAAAACAGGGCAGGAACTGACACCTGATAGTCATCCCATTGATTGAAAACACCTCTGGACAGATGGACTCTAATTTCACCTTCAAATTCTAATCCTAGAGATTCACATACTTTTGCCACTCATATGTAACACTGGATCATTTTTCTGCATGACCATATTTTAGATCCCTTAATCCGACCCCATACCTAAACTTAACAACTATCTTACTAACTATTAATAAGCAGCAAATTAGGAGTTTATTGAGGGAAAAGTCGTAGTTAATAGTGAATATGTGTTCCCTATTCTAAAGTGTTACCCAATATATTTTTGTCTCATTTGTTTGATTGTATTCTGTTTGTCAACTTTCAGGACTTTCAGCAAAATCTGATGATCTTTTGGGTCATATTACAGAAATATGCAGAATTACAGAAAATTCTGAAGGGTTCACAAACTTTCAAGCAGCACTGTATATTCAAATGTAATGTTGTTACCCTTATTGAGATTCTTGTTGTTTTAGTGCCATATAAGTGTATGTTTGTGAAAATAAATACTTGTATATTACAAGTAGCTTGTAGTTCAGGCAGCTACAGTTTCAAGTTTTAGGATTATCAGTTTTAGTCATGTTGCAATGCTAGTTGAGTGCACATGAATGCCACCAAGTTAAAATTGCCATGAGGAAACATTACTTTTGTAAACCTTGGCATTCTAGGTTGTGGGAATGTCCATTTAAGAAGTGATTGTGTGTTGTGTTTTTTTTGTGTATGTGTACATTTCCCATCATTCTCTGTGGCAGCACATGAATGATAAAAGCATATAAAGCATAAATTACTTTTGTTTGGTGGGGGAAGGGGAAATGAGAGGAAATTGTTTACTGAGTATTCAGCTAAAATGACTTGAATCCAGATCATGTTATAAAATATTGTGTTTGCCTTAATGTTACATAAAATAAAGATATCGGTCAGTGCTGAAATAAGTTTGTTGTTTCGTGTGAGGTGACTGTGACCTACACATACAGTATGCAACATCTGCGCAGAGTTTAATTTTAGCCCGCAGTGACTGCAGTATTGATTTCCACTGTGTGTACAACGCCTCTCAGAGTAGGAGTACAGGTCTTGGATCTGTTTTTTCCTTTCATGTCCTAATTAGAGTAATTTCAGAAACATGGGGTCTTTATTCTCTATCATCAGACCACAACATATCCTTTTAAACAGGGAAATTTCCATCCTCTTAAGGTTTATATTAAGACTTATACCTTCAAAGTTTGTTGTTTCTTGGCTAAAATGTAGTTAGGGCAATAAGAACATATTATGTTCCTTGAAGAAGGGATCATTTCCCTTGATCCAATTAAAAACTGTATTGAGGGAGCTGACATTATGAAAAACAGCCTCCAATAGTCTATTAGGCTCTGCAATTACACAAGCCACTTCGGACTAGAAACAGTCAATGCAGACTCTCCGATTGGACAAATGAATCGATGCTCTGCTTTGTTGTCAATTCGTTTACTGTTGATCCGTTTACTCTTGTCTCTTGAGGTCAACGCTAGGGCAACGCATTGTAAATATTTACTGCATATCTGATGATTGTCTTATGCAATTGAGTTGGACAGCTGTTTACAGGAAGTAAGCTTTGAAGCTTAGCGTTGAAGAGACGTAGCCAAGGAGGCCTGAAAGTAGAACATAGACTCAATGAAACAACAAACCACAGCAGTATGGCTAAAATAAGATATCAATAATATATATATGGTTTTGCAGTTACATTTATTTATTTGTTTGTTTATTTGTTTTACTATTTATGTTATCATGTTAGGGCTAGTGTGCACACATGTGAGGCACAAATGCAAGGATTTTCTAATTTGTTTGAAATATGGCCAATCAGTTGAGCAGCAGCCAATGAAATTAAGAGAGAGCTTTTGTCTTTGTGTGAGGTGCTTTTAGGTCATTGTTCTGTTTTGAAGTACTGTTGTTTATTTATTTTTTATTTTATTTATTATGGAGGTATCATTTCCTCTCTGTAGATTCCTGTTGTTCTTATTTTCCATGTGTGTCTCATTAATCAGTCCGTTAAACCCTTCATCCTTGTGTATTTCAAATCCTCTTATTTGCTTGTTGCTTGTCTGGTCTTGTCTGGACGTACGTATGTTGGGGAGTCTTGAATTTGGATTGAGATCCTCACAGCCTCCTGCTCCTTGAGTTCAACACTACAGAAGACCAGGGGCCAGTTGCATGAACTGCTTAGATAAGTCTAAAAAATTAGTCATCTAATTTTTTTCTTCAAGACTGGTCATAACTTTTAAAGTCAGTACCATAAAAAGGTCAACTGGGCTAATTTCGGATCTGAAAAGTAAGATTGATTTCCCATCTGCTAGTTGGTCAGACTAGTTCTTAAGACACAGTCTTAACATAGTGGCTGTGTTTATGCCACTGGCCTCTGATCTTAAAATATGGCTCAAATGAGAACAGGGGCCAGCTGCATAAAAGGATTAGACAAGTCTTACAAGTTAGTCATGTAAATTTTTTCTTTAAAGGGATAGTTTACCCAAAAATGAACATTCTGTCATTATTTATCACCCTCACACTCATGTCGTTCAAACACATAAAATACATTTTTGTTCTTCTTCAGAATACAAATTAAGATATTTTTGATGAAATCCGGGAGCTTTCTGGCCCTGTGTGGACAGCATGTAACTGACACGTTCAAGGCACAGAAAGGTAGTAAGGACATTGTTAAAATAGTTCACGTTACATGCTTCAACCGTAGTGTTATAAAGCCACGAGAATAATGTTAGTGCATGTGTGCTGTCCTGAATGTGCATCTACTGACACAGAGGAGTAGAAATGGTTGAATAAAGTTATTTTTGTTTTCTTTGTGCACAAAAGTTATTCTCATAGCTTCATAAAATTAAGGTTGAATCAATGATGTTACATGGACTATTTTATCGATTTCCTTACTACCTTTTTGGGCCTTGAACATGGTAGCTGCGTTGCTGTCTATGGAGGGTCAGAAAGCGCTCGGATTTCATCAAAAATATCCTAATTTGTGTTCCAAAGATGAAGAAGGGTTGGGAACAACATGAGGGTGAGTAATTAATGACAGAACTTTCATTTTTGGGTGAACTGTCCCTTTAAGACTGGTCTTTTTTATGTTGAATCCAAAAAATACGACTTGGCTAACTGCTAGTTGGTCAGACTAGTTCTTAAGACACAGTCTTAACATAAAGGCTAAATTCATTAAACTGGCCACTGGTATCTTCTCTCTCCAGCAGCTCTGTAGAATATTACAGTAGACTTGAGCATTTGATTCTCTGAGCAATTGCATTTGCTGCATCTACTGTTTTGGCCTATCAAATGATGTCTTCTGGATGACAGGTTTTTCCTTGTTTCCTTGTTGCAATGTCTCCTCTTATTTAGTTGGGTACATGGTGCGCTGTGGTGTCCCCCTTTTTCTATAGAATAAATATTTAGTCATCTATTGGAGCATCAGGAGCACCCCTGTAATGGCACGATGTTTGTTGTTTTATGTTTGTGATTTAGTTTTGTATTTTCATGGTTTTGTTTCTTTCACATGTACTCCTTTTTTCTGAGTTGCACTCAGGTCCTGAAAGCTCCCTACTCCTTGAGTCCAACAGTACCGTTCCCTAACCATTAACAGCCCTTGAAATCAAATGGAAATGATAGGCCACAACTGCAGCACTAAGTATAACCCTAAAATTGCATTGGTTGATAAGCCTGTTTCCTGGAGCAAAATTCGTAGTCACTATCTGGTAAAATCAGAGAAAGCTCTGCCTCAGAATATGTTTAAATGATGTTAGACTTCATTGGGATCTGAAAAGTCACCAGCAGGCTTTATTTGAGGCAGTGGAATGTTTTATGAAGGACACATTTAAAACAGACATAGTTAAACAGAATATATGCAGCAGACATGCTCAAAAACCACCAAAAGCTTGGGAGCTGTCAGCACTGACCCACTATACAAAACTCATTGCTGTGTTTCATTACACAGTCAAGCTCAGTTTACCTTTTTTAATGTATATTTTATTTTAATACCTTTTCATGTCAGCTTTCAAACAGGAACATTTAAATATAATTTATTTACAATTAAATTTATTTCATTTTTTTTTCCAATGAACTCTTGAGTTATACATACTCTTCAATTAACGTATTACTTTTTGTATTTTAATTAATACTTTTAAACATCTTTTCACTTGCACGGCACTTTGAGCTACAATCTTGCATTGAAAGATCTAAATGAAAAAGTTTCTGATTTATTTTTCACTGTTGCACTCGTCTGAGAGATGAAGAGGTCATCTGGGTATTCGCTCCTGATTGCCTTGTGGTCTTTAATGGGAATGTGGCTCATTTTCTTGGTTTGGAAATACTCAGGTTAGCTTTACTTTTAAAACTCTGGAGACGCCGATTGTGCCACAAATACACACAAACTCACATACTCACATACATTTGTGATGATTGTGGTTTTTATATTGACATCATTTATTATAAAGCAGCATAAATCAAAATCGCTTTGTCATTATACCTATTACTGTAGTGGTGTGTGCGTGTATGCAGTGGTATTATAATGAGGTTTGGTATATGTTGTAAAATATGTGCTTGTGAGTGACAGTGATGTGTGGAGTGTTAACAGCATTTTGTGTGCATGTGTGTCTGGATTTAAGAGGTTGTTATTAGTGCTAAAGTGACGGTATTTCTTTCAGGAACCTGTTTCTGATTCTCAGTAATTCAACACAGAGACAAACTCGTCTACTGTACAGGGGAAGCTTTTACTCTTTCAACCTTTTTTCCCTTATAAACACACAAACATCACTCATGTGTCAAATGTTTCTCTCCATGCCTCTGTCTTGTCATAATATGCAGTGATCCACATCACAGGTTGTGGTTTTTGCATGTTTTCTTTTATAAGAAATCTAAATTTAGACTTTTAAGAAAGATCTTTTCATAAAGACCTAGGGAAAACATTGTGCAAGAAAGTTATTGATAATTATCAAATTATAGTGATCAGTTTAGTTTTCTCAATTGCTAAGACACATTTCTTGAAACTTGAATCATTTGTCAAAACTATAACCATTTATGCAGAACATAAACATTCTGTGACAAACTTTCCTGGCAAAATTCCTGAATAAGATTAGACAATTCTGGGATCTTTTACTCATCCATCTCTTCTTTTTCCACCTCAATCACTGCTTCCTTTTCCATTTCTATCACCTCTAACTCTTTATCTTCCACCTTCAGCTCTTTTCAACCCTCCTCAACTACACTTCTTTAACATCACCTTCTTCAGGCTGACATTTTCTAAATTGTTTGAATCCATTCATGACTCATGAGTATATGGCGTAAAATGCTGAATTTGTATGTTAAAAAAGGTTGTCTCAGTGTTTCTTGTACAAATGCTTGGCTAATATGGATATTAGAGTGAAAGCAATTGAGGAAAAACTGCAATATTATAAAGGAAATAAAATTAGATGTGTATGCAACAATGCGACAGAAAATACATTAAAAAATCTTTAAGTATCTTTAAGCAGTAGACAGTTTGCACACATAAGAGCTCTAAATCTCTCCTTCCCTCTAGTTCTCGCCCTCCCTCTCTGTAATAATTGAATAATGTCCTGCTCTTGTTATCGTCAGCTTGCAGAAGGAAGGGATGGTAAATTACTTAAATGTTATGAGCAGGCTGTAGGTTAATGATTAGTTAGCACAATACAGTATGAAGATTACGGTGAGGTTTGGGTGGAAGGATGACCTGAGGTTGCAGCTTAGTGGCTTTGGAAGATGTCTTACTCTACAGTTTTCACCAGCAAATATATAAACACAATTGTATTAAGGTGGAACGGAATGGTTTGGTCAGGCTAGACAAACTGTGACGCTGTAGATATAAGATATAATCTCTAAGGAAAACAAGTATTCTAATCTTTGACCAATCATGTAAAATATTACATTTCATGTTTTCAGTTTAATACAGTTTCTATTGCAAACACATATTGTATACAGTACACGCATGCAGTATATACTTGCCAATTCACTTATGTGCAATACAATCGAATTGTGTGTAGCACTGCATATGCCACAGCAAAGGTTGACTCTGTTCCAAAACATTGTGAGCTGTATTTGTAGGCATTCTAAGGGTGTTTCAAATCATAACTGCTAAAGGCTGGAATACAGACTGACAGTCTGAACAAGGCTTAATTCAAATTCACTCAATATTCCAAAAATGTGTTTCAGACAATTAAAATTTACTATTTTATTTAATATTTGTGTGTGCCATGTATTTATATAATAATTAGAGTGTTGGGTTTTTAGGGTAGAGTTTAGTGTAGGTAGTGCATTATATTCTAATGCAGCACTCACTGGTCACTTAATTTTAAAAAGTGTAATAAGCAACAAAATAATTTTGTAGAAAGGTGGGTAACACTTTATTTAAAGATCTCCTTTGTTACCCATTTTACATTTACTTACTATTATAATAACAATTATGCATAATTGCATGCAAGTAACCCTAAGCCAAACCCTAATCCTAACTCTAACCATATAGTAAGTACATGTAGTTATTTAATATTACCCAGTACTTAAATGTATAATTACACTGTAACAAGGACACCTTAAAATAAAGTGTAACCGAAAGGTGCATTTTTCCAATAAGCCTTGGTTGAGAATGTTCCAAATCATATAAGAGCTTCATTCTGAGGAATGAAATGGCAGCTGTCTATATACTAGGGTTTTATTTTTCCCAAATTCCTTTTATTTGTTCCAAATTACGAAACCGTGCATCTGCACCATTCATTCACACAGCGACACACAGAACATGCAGGATTCATATTTAAATAGTATTTTTGCTGCTTAATATTCACAGACACTAGTCCATATCTTGTTTTGACTTAAGTGTGCTGACATACTTTTGATTTATCCATCCAAAATTTGGCAAATTCCATGACGTTCCGCAATATACAGTAAATTCCGTTTTTATAACTGGATTCCGCAGTTCCGTCTGTGTTTTCTGCATCTCGGAAATCATAAGGCCCTAATATAGGCAGCAGAACGCAAGGCAACTTACTAGGTTTCAGAACAGAGTGATTTGAAAGACAGATTAGCGCATTTTACTGCAGTACATGGGCTACTTGTAACTGTATATAGAGCTTAGAACATCACCTCTTGGCCGCCCTGTCAAGCCTTGTTAACATATTAACAGTTCATTAACTTTCATGCTTTGTTAATGTAGTTCATAAATGCGTGGGTTTGGTCCACAGTTGCGTTTAGCGCCTTAAAGGGCAGGCTGACGTTATGTCAAGCTGGGGCTCTTTAGTTTCACAGGCCTGTGTTGTAGGAGCAGCCCAGGGGGCACAGGGGTGGACGTGCTAAGCTCCAGTAACATGTTAGCAAAACAGCAGCTGAAAATAGATGAGACCTGTAACTCTCACAGACAGATGTGAGGATAGGAAGCCAAAGGGGAAACGTCTCACATAAGACAGACAGAGAAGGGGAGGGAGAGAGAGAACAAGGAAGTGGTTTTAAAATCAGTGAACGGAGTCAGGAGAGAAACATAATATAAAGAGATAGAGAGATATAATCAAAGCGAAGGAAAGCAGAAATATGGCAGCCAAACACAGAAAGTCAGAAGTAGCAAATGCAGTAATACAGATAAGTTTTCATTCTCTCACCTCTTGCTCTTTCCCACACTTTGCCGTGTAGTGCTAGCTGTCAGACCCCTTCCCAGACTGGCGCTGGTTGATGACTTCATCGGGGAATTAATGTGACAAACACTGCATGAAGTTTTGAAACTTCTCCTCACTTGTAGGTCTGTTAGACAGGTCTTCTGCCTCCCTGGCCTGAACACATCTCTTTCTTCCCTCCTGTGTCAGTGTATGTTATCCCATAATGTTTTTTATTATCCTGCTTGCATTCAGGCTTATCCTACTTTGTGTGTATTGATTACAGGCTTTTTTTCAAATAAAATGTATTAATTTAAATTTCAGCATTTTTAATAAACACATGTTAAACAATATTAGGTCCCATTTTATATTAGGTGGTCTTATACTGTAAGTACAATGTACTTATTGTGTTCATTTTGCA